TCGACCACTCAAAGCACTTTTACACTACATCTGCATTCTAAGTGCTCAAACAGAAACTAGCATTCACACTCATTCATACACTGGCGGAATAGCCGCCAGGGGCAAATCGGGGTTCAGTATCTTGCCCAAGGACACTTCGACACGCAACCAGGGGGAGCCAGGGATTGAACCGCCGACCTTCCGATTAACGGCTAACACGCTCTACCTCCTGAGCCACAGCCGCCCCCATCTCAAGGATGACCAGAAGAAATAGACAGCACCTGAGTTAAATATGAGTGTCACGGCAAAGGGTCTGAATACTTATGACCATGTGATATTTCAGTTTTTCTTTTTTAATAAATTTGCAAAAATTTCTACATTTCTGTTTTTTTCTGTCAAGATGGGGTGCTGAGTGTACAATACTGAGAAATAAAATGAACTTTTTGATTTTTGGAAAATGGCTGCAATGAAACAAAGAGTGAAAAATTTAAAGGGGTCTGAATACTTTCCGTACCCACTGTACTTCTTAATGCTTGGCCAAATGTTCATAACACAACAACCTAGTACCCGACCAACAGAGTATAGACGATTATTCAGGTGGCCTAACCTGGCCCAGTGCCCTGTGGCAGGTGCTGTCTGTGGTTCTCATTATCTATGCATAACATTACACAACCACAGTAAAAACAATAAGGTTACTTCAACTGACTATTCATTCAGCAGCTAAATCCAGGCAAGCAAAGCAAAACAAACAATATAACCATATTAAAAATCACACAAATAGCTGCAGTTCAGTTAAGTTCAGAGAGAGGAGGTGTCATTTCACTCACCTTTTTTGAAAAAGAAGTCTGTCATGGTGGCGAAGTGGTCAATAACCAAGTTATAGAATTTTCCACTGGCTTTTCGTCCTCCGCAACAACAGAGTCAGTTGAAGTTTGGCGATACTACCTAGCCACTCTGTACAAATATAGTTTTCCTCATTGAACGTCCAAAATCCCTTTTTTCTCTCCACGCCCAGCTCCAGTTTTGGCGTTGGTCTTCCATCAGATTTAATCTTAAATTGCTGCTGTAGTGGTAGTGTAGCATAACTACATTGATATAATAAATTTATGAGAATGAATACCAAATTATGAATTTTAATATTCAGAAAATATTAATATCCATAGCTCTCGTTTCGCAGGGGCACCACCCGATATACCGTTCGCCCAGGGTCTCGGGACTCCCTGAGTATGGCTAATAATTAGACAATTATTCACTAGTGATCAGTTTGTTAACAATCGCTCAATTATCTTAAATCAGTCAGTCTCATATAGAATGGTAAATTCTCTTGGCAGGGACTCAGAGACAGGCAATACATACAATTCCTTGGTTACAGTGAAGTTTATTAACCAACTAAGGTGATATAAAAATTTGGTTAAATACATCAAATAAATAGACAATGGCTAAACAATGAGAATGTGGATTTCAATTGTGGAAGTATTTGACTCATATGGCGGAAGAGAACTAATGAAAGTAAGCTATGAGTTTAGGAGTTAAAAAGATAATCTATTAACACTATTGGACATCACTGTTCACAGAATGCCTTGTTTTGCCTTACGGTGGGTCGGCGGCCTGCTTGGCCGGTTGCACGGGTCCCACGCTAGCTGCCCGATTCCTGGCTTTTTGCTAGGGAATTCTCTGGGGTTCTCCATGTCTGGAATGAAGAAAAACCCTCAAGGGTTGGCCATCCTCAGTCTGGCAATTAGGCTGTTCTTCAGGTGTCCTTTGTTACCGCGTGGCTTGGTCTGACCTCGGTGAAGTTAGCTCGACGAATAAAGCTTAAAAAGGGAACTTGGTCGTTCTTGACTTAGACTAGTGTAACTTAACAGTCTACTAACTTTTAACAAACAAAATAAAATAAAAAGCAAGTAAATTGCTGGAAACGAGGGAAAGCTGATGTCGCGGCACTTCGCGGGTGTAGCTTGAAGCGAACAAAGCTTTTGTTGCGCCGGGCCGAACTCCTAGGGAGTTACCGGAAGAGGGGGCACGCCGGGCACGTGCCAAAGCGCCGTTGAAAAGCCCGGAACAAACAGGAGACCAGAGCGAAGAGAAGAGTGCAAGAGGGGGAACGACAGCGCGTGTCGCTGTTTTGTCTGTTGGGGCGTGGTTCCCAGAGTGCCCTCTGTACTTAGTTTCCCGGAGGGCGGGCTGTTTCCGGTTTCCGGTCTTTCTAAACTTTTAATATGTCTATAAAAAAGGAAAAGAAAATCTATTTGCGCGTATTATAATCAAGTATCTTCCCACAATCATACCTCAATTGTCAAACGGTTGTACCATTCTAAGTTTAAGCATTTGATAACAGGAAGAACAGTTGTCAGAAGTTAGACCTTACAAGGTTAACACTTCATAGGAATCACAGATGAGAGGAACTTAACTTGCTTTCTAAATATAGGCTATTGGCTGTTACACGTTCTTAGAGAATATAAGCAAGATACACGAGTGGCATTAGATTATTGACAAGATAAATACGGAGTGACATTTATACATTAACGGCATTTCAGACGATGGCATGTAATACTTATTTTGTCCACTTGGGGGAGCTCAGTTTACATGACGATAGCTTGGATTAACCCTAAGACAATCTTTGCTCAGGAGCTGTGGAATTTGGTTACACATAAAATGAAGGAATGTCATTAACCTTGCTGAAAATTAAAACACTGCAAAAGTAACTTATTTAGATTCTTTTCAGCAATAATATCAACATCAGATAGCAACAACATGGTAACATAACTACTCAAATAGAGGCAAACGTAATCAAGTAACAAAAAGATTATTTTATTAAACAAGGTAATGCTTTGAGTCTTGGGGAGACAGCAGTCTTTGTTTACACAAAGATGTTCAGGGCTGTCCCTGGTGTCCTGGAGTTTCTCCAATTTGAATTTGGCTGTGAAAGGGAGTATCTCCTTTCATGTGAGGTAATTAAACGCAGAGGAAGGTCAGTTGCCATGGTTACGTGTGGGGGGCAGTTTAGGGTTTCCTGCCCTCTCTTTAAGAAGAGTTTTGATAGGCTGTTCAGGAAAACGCTAATCGCTGGTCAATGTTCCTTTTGTCAGTTTAACAGTCAAGCACCGCGTTATCTGGCTGCAGCATCAAAAGGTGGCCAGTTTTTTATGATCAGGCTGCTCAGAGACAGCTCTTAGGGAGGGAAAAATCTCTCAAGGAGAGAAAAGGAGGAATTTGAGTCTCCAAATATAAAATGCACCAATCCACACTGTTGGTACACAACAGTAGTTTAGTAAAACTATTTCTTATAACTAAAAACTCCAAATCTCCAACCTCCATAACTGCACCAGCTAAAGTTGGTTCCCGTTATTTCATCTGAATGACGTTGATCGCGTGCTGTGATTTGATTGGCATGAAGCCAGACAGCGACTGGCTTCCCTTGGCATCATCCTGACTAATTACAGTTAGGCAGTGGCATGACAGTGGCCTCATCTGATTGGTTAATCATTTAATTTTTTTTCACAAAGGGATGCCAACTCTTCCTAGCTTCCTCGCGTGATCAGTCTACAGTGGTGCAATATAGTGTTTCACCACAAATCCAACGCGTAGCATTTAGAGGGGCGCTGTTTCACTTATTGTAAGACAGTGAGAAATGGGGAAGAGATGACCGCAACAGCTTATAAGATTGTGTTAAACATTGTGTTTTTATTGAAATGATATATAGAGTCTGATAAAAACAGGGGAAGCCTGGCTTCCCTTGGCTTCAGGGAGAAAATGCCACTGGTTGCCAATCTGGTCAGCAACATGTAGCTTACAGCTGAATCGAAGCTGTTTACGGGCTTCTCACTGACCTGCCCTTCTGATTGGCTAGTAGTCCTTAACTAGGAACTGCGCATGTGCAACTCCCAACAAAAATCATTTAGAGACCAGATGTATCACTCCAAAGCTAAAACAAAGCCTTCAACACACAGGGTGCAAAGAGGAGCTGCAGCAATGTGCAGTATGACAAAAATATGGTGTATTTTGAAAATGAAACCATGTAAACCAGTTCTGGTACAAACCCTAAATAGGATTTTGAACCTTAAAATGAGCACAGTACCACCTCTTTAAGTAGAAGCAGAGCAAATCTAACCACATATCAACCCGTCAAATTATTAAAGTAATTGTTGGGAGGACACGAAAACTGACTCTCCCACTCTCTGTACCTAAGCTGGAATGCACTTGGAAAAATGAGAAGACACTGTGAAAAGAAAATGTGTGAAAATATTTAATTTCTTTAAACAAAAAAGTGTAGTTTAACAATCCCATTGTTGCATTGATTTTGTATTCACGGCAAACTGCTTCATTTACTGTCTCATTAAATCAGTTGCAGTGACCAATCAATAAGCAGTGTTTCAGGGAAAGGATTTTCCTGTCCAGTACAAGACTTGCACATGGGGTACACTTGTGTTTCTCTAATCAACAATGTTTTTCACCAGTGTATTCACTCAAGTATTCACTTTATGCTACTTTAGACCTACTCCACTATATAGAGGCAAAAAGGAAACTTTTTGCTGCTACATTTATTATTATTATTATTTTAAACTACCATATATAAACATATAAAGCACTTAATTGAAGTTTCACCTCAGCTAAATACATTAAAATGCTGCTTACACAGTAACGCAGTATTCAATACTGTATGTATTGCCATTACTTTATTACTTCTCTAAATTTACGTAATTAAAAGTTTGAATGCAGGACTTGTAATAGGTAATTATAATTTAGTTAAGTAAAGGCTTTTAATGAATACTCCACCGCTGCTGCCGGTGTGACGGAACTGGAGAAGCTGTTAACAGGTCTTGGGAAGGATTACTGTATATACTACTGACTATTGTATGTGAAAAAGTTGTGAAAAGTTCAATAAAGCCTTTTGTGACTCTTTTGTGGTGTCCATCATGAGTCCAAAAATGTTACAGAAGTGCAATAATGAATTGGTGGAGTATTCTTATGTTTTATACTCCTCCTCTGATTTTTTTCTTATCTCTCTGTGTGTCTCACAGGATCTACAAGTTCATCAATGTCAGATCATTGGCTAATCCGCTTGACAGGGGACAGTAAGAGAGGCAGCCTGGTGTCTCGATCCTCTACTGCCTGCCCATCTTCCATACCTGACTCACCCGAGTCTCCAGTCTTCCTTGAGAATGGTTCTAAAGAGGAAAGAGGTAAGTGGCCACACCCAGGATTTGCTCTAATCAGATTAGTAGTTTAGTTATAGTTTACATTTAAATGTAAAAACTAAAAGCTTTTCTTCATTGCATAATTTTAGGGGGTTTTGAGAACAGGCCATTTATCAGGGGTCTTCAGGGACGCAGTGTGAGCATGAGAGCCCCCAGCAAGACCAAGGACACCCTGAGCAAAGTGCTTCCTATGCGCTGGTCCTTGGGTTCAAAGGACAGACGGAAACCTGATCCAGTGCCTCAGTCTGCCCAAGATCCTGCCCCTGTGGAGCTCGTACAGTACTTGGAATCTGGCAGACGGCCCCGTTGCACAAAGGATCCTATAGTAACATTGATGAGCGAACCACGCAGTACAAAGGAAGCTGCTGGGGGCCGGGCTGCAGCCAATGTCCGATCTTCCAGCGTTGGGAGCATCAGTTGTGTGGGTAAGACAGGAAATGAGCTGCCATACGAGGCTGCACAGGTCCCGGAGGGCCAGAGGAGGCTGTCAGATAAGACAGGCAGTTTGAGACGCAGCAAGGGGAGCCAGACAAGAGATGACAGGACCATGAATATCAGCAGTAGCTCTAACAGTAACACCCTCACCAGGAGGAAGGATGCCAGGAAGCAGAGCTCCTCCAAAATCTCCCTGGATACTGAGACAAAAAGGAGTTCCAGTGCTGGAGTTCAGCCCAGCTTCAGCACTCCCAGCCTTCAAGACGGGACTTTGAGAAGACAAAAAGGGGACAGGGTGGATACGGAACACCATGGTACATTTGAAGGAAACTCTAAGACCAAAAAAGGAGAAATTCCCAAGAGCCATGATGGACTACTCTCCTTCTTCAAAGGTAATTTCCTGAAGAAAGATAAGGACTCAAGGAAGTCCAAGGAGTGTGAGTCAGGGAAAGGAGTAGGTGAGGAAGGAGGCAGAAGGACCCTCTCTAGGCTGTCACTGTCCAATGGAGCAGCAGTAGGAGGAACTGGGGTGGAAGGACGCAAGTCTAATGGCCATCTGAGTGATGCACTGGCAAACGGTAAGGTTGGACGAACCACATCTGACATCAAACGCTCCCAGAGTTCATCCAACATCCCCACCAAAGCGGAGCAGAGCGTGCGTAGGACAGCATCTTTGCATCGTACCGGGATGCCTACAGCCCCAGCACTGTCCCGCAGCCTGACAACAGACAAACCGTCTTATGGCACCCTGCAGAGGACTCGTTACAGCACAACCTCGCTGGGACGCAAAAGGACAGTCCCGGAGTCCAGCTTCTGACACAGAGATATTTAACACATCCACACACTCGCAAAGCCTTTTATCTGTTATAAAGTGAATGACAAGAGATCAAAGCAATAGCGCTCAATTAACAGTGATATACCTTTTTGTTGCCAGAAAATAAAATGATTTGCAACATGGAACTGAGAGACACTCAGCAAATGAAGGGTCCTTTAATACTGGGATATAAAGAGCAGAATGAAATGATGTGACCTGTCCATCAAACGTCAGAGGGAATCCATTTTTATTCTGTTTTTTAAGACTTAAAACAAGTGCCTGAGCAACGAATATGCAGTTTAGACCAGTGAGTTTGTCTGTTTAGCACTGGAAGCATGAAATCTTACACACACACACACACACACACACATACACACATAACATCCACATTTGTGTCTTATTTTTGTAGTGTATGTTGGAATTCATCACTCTATTTTAAAATGTTATGTTTTTTTGCTTACAGTCAAGACATACTGATTGTGTTCATTTTTAAGAATGTAATGTGTCCAGTTTATTAACTTTGATGCTTTGAGGTTGCAGGTTCTGATTAACATCAATTATTCATATTTAATTATGGCTTTGAACACAAGGCACTGTTTTTATAAAGCACTGATGTCTGGGTCCTCATCGCAGTTGATGTAAAGTTAAACCGACATTGGAAATACCATGACCTCTAACTGTAAAAACTTGCTGGGTATGAATGGTTTTCTGTAGAATTACTTATGTGGGTCCTAATTCTTTCTTGGCTAAAACAATGAATCCCTACTAGGACCAGCAGCACTTTATAGCTGAGCCTGACTGACCTCCCTGTAGCGGAAGGGAATTTACAAAATACATTTGTCTGCTGTGAAATTTAATGTTAATGCCCACCCTTAGAGAATGTTTTACACCTTTTTTATAACATCAATTAACCCTGCTGAATGCATTCCAATGTTGTGTTTTTTTCTACTGCTTTGGTATAATTACCATATTTGTCTTAGTTTATATTTTCCTGTGTTTTCCAGAACTTTATCAACTGTCAAATGTGCATTTAGCTGTGGGTAATATGAAGGTGGTGTTCTAGTGAAGTTCTTGTTGAAAATCTCTCTCTCAAAAATAACTCCTTGCTCTTTGATTGTGAGGAATATTCACCAGAACCTGACATTCACTGATGCAGATTTTTGTAATCAGTTATCAGAAGGAGAAATACTACACAAAACACCAATATTAGGGCTGCACGATATGGCAAAAAAAAAACCTCACTGATATTACAAGTTGCAATATTATTCATAATTGGTGGGAATGATCATTTTTCCATCACAGTTTTCATTTAACTAAAACAACTATTAAAATCATGATGTGACTTTTGTTGTTTGTGTGTTGTTTGTAGGCTGGGGCATATCAGCAGCACTACAGTATTTAATTATAATTTTCATTTAATCACATTTTACCTTCATCAAAAAATTTTAGTTTCTGATTGGCTCGGCCATATTGCGATTTCGAAAATAATTCCATAAATTGTGCAGCCCTAACCAAAATGGATGCAAAAATGCAAGTTGCACACTTTGTCCGTGTTTTAGGGCAGGGTTTAACAGAATAGCAGTAATCTGAATAATTTAATCTTTGGAAGATTCTTTTAAAAATGAAGTGAAATACAATTCACATTGTTATTCTCTGTTTATGTATACATTTACTGTATGTTTACTGTCAGTTAAGCTGCTCTTCACCTCCCCATGAAAACTGATTTGCTTTTAATATTTGCTGGTATATGCTGACTTCTGCTAGAAAGTAATACAGTATACAATGCACCTCTTCACTTTGTTTTCATTGTTTGATTCGTTTGAGCATTTGTTTGAAATACAGTGAGGAAAATAAGTATTTGAACACCCTGCTATTTTGCAAGTTCTCCCACTTAGAAATCATGGAGGGGTCTGAAATTGTCATCGTAGGTGCATGTCCACTGTGAGAGACATAATCTAAAAAAAAAAATCCAGAAATCACAATGTCTGATTTTTTAACTATTTATTTGTATGATACAGCTGCAAATAAGTATTTGAACACCTGTCTATCAGCTAGAATTCTGACTCTCAAAGACCTGTTAGTCTGCCTTCAAAATGTCCACCTCCACTCCATTTATTATCCTAAATTAGATGCACCTGTTTGAGGTCGTTAGCTGCATAAAGACACCTGTCCACCCCATACAATCAGTAAGAATCCAACTGCTAACATGGCCAAGACCAAAGAGCTGTCCAAAGACACTAGAGACAAAATTGTACACCTCCACAAGGCTGGAAAGGGCTACGGGGAAATCGCCAAGCAGCTTGGTGAAAAAAGGTCCACTGTTGGAGCAATCATTAGAAAATGGAAGAAGCTAAATATGACTGTCAATCTCCCTCGGACTGGGGCTCCATGCAAGATCTCACCTCGTGGGGTCTCAATGATCCTAAGAAAGGTGAGAAATCAGCCCAGAACTACACGGGAGGAGCGGATGACCGGGGCCATGTATTGCGAGATTTTGGGGAACAACCTCCTTCCCTCAGTTAGAGCATTGAAGATGGGTCGAGGCCGGGTCTTCCAACATGACAATGACCCGAAGCACACAGCCAGGATAACCAAGGAGTGGCTCTGTAAGAAGCATATCAAGGTTCTGGCGTGGCCTAGCCAGTCTCCAGACCTAAACCCAATAGAGAATCTTTGGAGGGAGCTCAAACTCCGTGTTTCTCAGCGACAGCCCAGAAACCTGACTGATCTAGAGAAGATCTGTGTGGAGGAGTGGGCCAAAATCCCTCCTGCAGTGTGTGCAAACCTGGTGAAAAACTACAGGAAACGTTTGACCTCAACAAAGGCTACTGTACCAAATATTAACATTGATTTTCTCAGGTGTTCAAATACTTATTTGCAGCTGTATCATACAAATAAATAGTTAAAAAATCAGACATTGTGATTTCTGGATTTTTTTTTTTAGATTATGTCTCTCACAGTGGACATGCACCTACGATGACAATTTCAGACCCCTCCATGATTTCTAAGTGGGAGAACTTGCAAAATAGTAGGGTGTTCAAATACTTATTTTCCTCACTGTGGTTATGCAAGACAAAAAGCAAAAAAAAATTATTTTAATTTTCCTCTGATTATAGGACAGTAAATCGATACATTAAGGCGGAATACATATGTATACAATGTGTATTGTTTGATTTGTTTTAAGTTAAGGCATTTTAACTCTTCCATAATCAGCAAGAACTCAAATTTAGAGGTTCCTTTGTGTATCTGGAATAATGAAGGTTTTGCTGTGCACTTTGTCTTTTTGCAGCATATGAATATTATGATGCATTATGATGTTGTTAATGTGTTTTGAGCTTAGCTGCCACTATATATGAACTTGTTTCACATTTAAATGGTTAGTTGTTCCCTTGTATGAAATACACAGTACAATTACATACTACATTACTCGTACTTTTGGCCTCTGTGCAGCTTCAGCCAAAGCCACTGGGAGTAAAGAGCTTCCCTTAAAGTCACTTTTATAACTGGTGAAGGAAAGAAGAGAATAGGCGACTTCCTAATCACTGATTTAAATTCTGGTTGTACTGTTACAGCATAACAGGCCATCTTGTTTGCTGCTACAGTGAAGTTTATGTTGGACGTGCACAGATATTTCCCATGGTGCCTTCTCAGGCTCTACACATGTAAGGCCCTACATTGATATTTGCACAGTGCTTAGATTTGCACTTTACACATACATGAATGCTCTACTACTAATATTTAATACGAGTTTGTAACTGAATGACATTGCAATTAGAAAAAGTTATCCTACTTATAATGACCCTGAAACTTACTAGGTTGATATTTAAAAACTATATGGTGATGTAGGTTAATTAAGATATATTAAAGCATAGTAAAAGCACTATATCAGCCTCAGAAATAACTGTGTATAATTGAACCGTAAGCATATTGTCATGGAGTACTCACCCTGATATTCCAGTTTCTTATTGAACCAGAAGCCATTCATAACCCTGCATCTTTTTATATAGTTTTCTTTCTGTATGAAGAATCACTCTGAATATACAGTTATCTGCTGATTTTTATGGCCTTCAGCTGCATAAAGCGAGAATAACACTGAATACTGTCTAAGCACTCAAACACAATACCAAGAACCTTTTACTCCCTGAAAACTAACACTATTAATCTTGTAGCTCTCTAATTTGTAATATACTTCCAAATGACTATCAATACTGGATTTACAGAAGATACATGTTGGTGCAGTTTTCTTTCTTGAGGACAGCACAAAAGTAAAAAAGTGAATTCTGTTTTTGGAATTCAACTGAGTCTCATTGGAGAAACCTAGCAATAATACTAAACAAAATGTTGAGGCAGTGTTACAGTTACACTTACTAAGCATGTCTTACTGGGGACCATTTTATTAAGGCAACATTATGTATTAATTGTATCTTAAAATAACTGCTTCAAAATCATTTTGATTTTATAGTAATACGGTGAATGGGGTTTCTGTCATTACACTTCCTGGCTCTCAGTGCCAGCTGCTGCTTTGTGTAGTATTGGAATCCCGGGAAGGACATTTTTCACAACAGTGGTATAATGGTTTACGGCACCAACATGACTCTTCAACAAGTGAGCTATAAGAAAAAGTAAAAAGTATATATTGTACAATGAAAGTTCTTTGGAAGAAGCTTGGTATTCTCAGTGTGAATACCATGGCAGAGACTGTGACCTTGTCAGAGGAAGTGAGGAAGAGAAAAAGCGTGACCAAGCATGAGACCATAAAAGAGTAAATATCAGACTGGTTTTTACTGAAAGGATGTATGTCAGATGCCGAGCTGGCCTTACTGCAGTTGGACTGGTCAGTAATAAATAGCTGGCTTGCTATGTCTTGTGTTAATAATAATATTTTTTTTATTTGTAATGCACTTCATATTTAAGCAAATCCCAAAGTACAAAAATTTATTTGAGAGGTTTGGTATCACATTGTGTAGCCATCATTTTTTGAGTGTGTAAGGAGATGTCTTGGATAGATTCTACTTTCCCTATTAAATAACTGCTTTAGTTTTCCATGTCTAGTTGTGCTCTTTGTTTAAAATAATTATGTAAGGTTTTACAAGCCAAGTTAGAGAAACTCCAAGACAACATTTCCCACCATATAGAGTCCATAAAAGAAAAATAATGTGCCACACTTTTTATTCTCTTAGTAAATTTTTCAATTCCCTTTGCCTACAGCTTCATCGGCAACAACGTACAAAACCCTTCAACAGCACCCATAACTCTTCTTAAAAGGCGCCTAAAATTTCCCCAAAACTTGTCTCTACATAGATGGCATTGTAACATAACATAGCTTTCTAATCTAACACTCATGGCATCAATTAATCTTGTCATTAGACATAGATACATACATTATTCATTTTCTTTGTGGAAACTCAACTACTGAAACGATGCATTGAGTGATGTCTAAATCAGTTGACTCACACACACAACCCTTATAAGAACCTACACCACATTTATTTTTACAAACAATGTAAGTAAGCTGTATTTTCTTTGCCAGTTTCAAGTGACTAAGCGATAATAGTTGATGTCTTATTCATTAATTTTGGTCCTTTGCACAAGTTCCTACTCATCTTCTTTGAGCATTTACATGCAAAGTTGAAGATTGAAGAAGTCAAGCACAGCGGCTTTAGTCCTCAACACTCAATACACTATTAAACCACGAGTCAGATATTTTAGTTTTCTCCTTAAAATGTCAAGAGGGATTGGGGGTGGCTTTGTTTTGACTGCAGCTGCTGTTTCGTCTTTCTTCAACTAAAGGTTTACCTAAATGGATTCACAAACACTGGCATTGTTAATTGAAGACACAAGTAGCAAATACTTCTCATAGACCAAAATCACCATAATCACACAGTTGATAATATCACACACGGTGGCTGGAACTTCATGCTCTTAACAGCCGAGCTCCCCTCAGATAACAGGGAAAAGATGACACCTGTGATTTTGTATGTAACAAAATACACATCGACATATCATATCTATAGTGTAGTCCATGCATGCATGAAAAGTCTGTACTCTTGTGAAACTGAAAGAAAACCCAGAGCTTTATTTGACAGAGAATAAAAACTCACCTTGAACCTGTAACATTCTGAACGAGAACATTCATGCTTACCTTATTCATGCAGACCTTTTTCTTTTTTTCCCAATGAATCTTCCACTAATATAAAACACCAGGGCCGTATTTATCAAGCTTTTCAAAGTGCCATTTTAGTCTTTATTTACTCCTATTTTTAAACTTAAGAAGAAAAACAAGTTATCAAATTTCTTAAAACTAAGAATCACTCTTACACTCCCAGTTAAAGACAACTCGAGAGGTCTCTCAAGTGGTTGGGAGTTGCCAGTAGGGGCTTGGCACTGTAGAGACAGAGACGCGCAAATCTTTCAGGAGAGGAAGAATGTTTCTGAATTATTTGATGATAGACGGGGTTGGACAGCGCAGGCATAATCTTTGTCGGCGAGTTGCTGAAGGATGTCTCACCACTGACTTTACGCAGTAATGCATTTTCAGCTAAACTGAAGGTGGTGATGATAATTTGTTTCTTTGCCACAGGACAAACGCAGCAATGCTGATGATTTGGGGCCATCACAACCATCAATAAGCCAAGCTTAACTAATTGTCACGCATTTCATCGACTTCCCACACTTAAATTAGGACTGAGATGCTTGATAACTAACTTTTACATAGCTTTACTCGAGTCAGTTCTTTGCAGTGTCAGTAATTCTGAGAAGCTTGATAAATATGGGCCCAGATCTGTACCCTTAAAA